GTGACATGAATTCACAATGAGCCTGTATTTCTGTAATAATAATTTCTGTATTTCTTGTTGTTGGAGGAAAAACTGCAGCTTATCAAAATTACGTATTCCGTAGTGAAATTATCATTGTTTTAAGAAGAGTCTCTAACCTCAAGGGAGGATGTTGCATATTGAGACTTTGGTTCTTTTCATCAGGTATTAGATAATTTATAACTATACTGTCTTATTCAGGTTGGGAAATGCAATGGAAAAGAACAATGAGATACCACCCTTTTCATTCCAATTTAAAATATTCAGCTGCAGAAATGCTTTTAAAAATGTAATCTGTGTGCCTTCAACAATGTAAAAAAAATGCTTTAATGGTCTTTTTATGAAGTGTCACAGCAAAATAATTTCTTGGAGAGTTCCAGTGCAAGAGAATTATACTGCATGAATACAGAACTCCACCTAGTGGCTGTTTTAGACAACATTAATCTGAAACCACTGACTGAGACTGACTAGTTAGTTACCAAATTTGTTCCTGATAAATTCAGTTTTACTTTATTGATCTTGACATAAAAATTGTATTTTCTGTGTGACAGATGCCTCAGGCCACATTATGTCTGGTCTAACAAGTTAATTACGTGGTAGATAAACTAGGGGGCGCCATACTTTCAAACAAAACTTCACGTGATAACCATTTAGGGGATAGTTCACCCAAAAATAAAATAATTCAGTAATAATTTAGTCGCCCTCATGTTGTTCATGGTTATACATTACAATAATTACATATTAATAAATATAAAAATGTTAAACATGACTTATTAGTGTGTGTGTGTGTGTGTGGGGGGGTTATATTTATATAAATAAAATAAAAATTCACATGAACTGAAGCATTGCACAGCAGTTAAGCACCTTTGATGAAGGTAGAAATGGCCTTCTGTGCCTCTGCAGCAGCGTGATTGTGATTTATTGTGCTGAGTAACACCATGCATTTTCCCCACCTTCCTTGGCTTCAAGATATGAAACACAATGTAGGCTATCGTCGATTGTGTGAATATAGGCTGCGTTTCACACAAGATCTGGCAACTCGACAACCTTGGAATAATTATATTGATATTAGGCCATGTTTTATTATTATTTTATAAATAGAGGTTTGGGTCATACAAATTAGGCTTCAGTAGCCTGGCTACAAGAGTTTTCCGGGAGAAATAACAAAAAGGGAGTGGGGTGAGAGATGGGAGTAAAATACGGGAGATTCCCGGGGGTAACGGGAGGTTCTTTCTTCTGTTGAAGTTGAACACAAAAGAATATATTTTTACAAATATTAACCAGTCAGTTTTTATTTTTATTTTTAATTTTTTTTTACATTTTTTTCAATTATGGAGGTCAGATAGCAATTCTATTTGATGTGATGTTTGCATCTGGAAGACGTATTTTTAAGAGTGTTTGCTGCTCATCTGCAATACGTCTGACGTTTCCTGTCAAACAGACGTTTAGAAGATGTCTTTAAGGTGTAATGATAGAATGCATGTTACACTGACATCTGCTAAACGTCTATTTGACATCTGACAGGAAACGTCCAATAGACTTATTGCAGATGAGCAAACACTCTTAAAAATAAGTCTTCCTGTCAGGACTCTGGTTTGATCTTCAGCCTTTCTGCTGTGTTTGTGTCTTGATTGTCAGTTCACCTCACCCGAATCCTATCCTAATCAGTGCTCTCACTCTCATTGCTTACACACCTGTTTCCCATTTTCTGCTTTGATTTTCTCCACTACTTATGGGCTATATGCACGCATAAGTTTCGCATTTGACGTAAGGATGCTCGTCCATTTCCGGTTGTGTAGATTAAAGCGGAGGAAAACCGGACAAAACGGGATTATGGCAGAGTCTTCAATTACTGTCCTCCCGTCTTTGAAACGAAACGTACATACGTTTAGGCTAGATGTAATTTTATATATAGTTATGTTTATTTAGGCTAATATAATTTTAAAAAGAAGCATAAACACAACGAGGGGTGTCTGTTTTATCTGTTTTTGTGACTAACGTTTCATTAGTATAACCATGGAGTATAAAATTCAATATAAATTCTCGGTATTGCATTGGACTCTACGATCGGCGGAAGTTATCGAGCATCCTTAATCCTTCACCGGAAATAACGCCGTGCATAGAGCCCATACTTCTCTCTTTCTTTGGTTCTCTGTCAGTGTGTCTTGGTTTCCGTCCGCTTCACTACTGTCCCCTTAGAAGACCTTAGAAGCCTTGTCTGTAAAACCTTAGGAGCCTTGTTTGTTTATTTAACCCTGTTTTGTTGTTTATTTGCCTAGTTCCTGTTCCCTTCTCAACTCAGCTTGCTCACCTGGTTTTTGACCCCCTGCTCTCGTCCTGGACTATTGCCTTGGCCTCTCCCTTGGTACTGTTGGCCCGCTACTGGTTTTGACCCCAGCCTGTCTACTGGATTTTGCCTTTGTCTCGCCCTCTTGCTTGGTAGCTCGGCTACCTTTTATTTTATGTTTTGTTTTGTTTTCATTCAACCTTTTGGACAATAAATCCTTTCTCAAATTGATCTGCTCTTGGATCCCTGTTGTCTCTGCATTCCCCTAACACTTCCAGATGTAAAAATCACATCAAATAGATTTGTGCTATCTAGGTTGATTACCAACATTCTTCAAAATATCTGAATATGATATAAACAGCGTGTGTGATGACGACATGTTAATTTTGGGGTGATTTACGGAATTTTAAGGATTAAGACCAAATTACATTCATATAGGCTACTTTAACAACAATAATGTAGCCTAAATCTTGGGAGTTTGGAAATTAAAACGGTACAGGTGATTTATTATGATTAGTATGCGAGTGATGATGTGTTAGGATATTTATGGTAATATTATTCATGTGACAGATCAAACAACAACATGAATTGAGAGTTGTCTTTAATACTTCAGAAATGATTCTAGAAATTATTGATGAAGTTGAAAGACTTTATTCGGGATTGATGTAAAGTGTCATTACAAAGGCATGAGTCACAACATGATTGAATTCAATTTAGTATAAAATGTAGGCCTAGGTATAGGCTACATTACAAATAAATTACTCTAAAAGACCCAGGTCAAACACGTGCAATTTAAAAAAATTGGCATTTCTCGAAACAGACTATTTTTGATTTCAAGCTTGCTATTGTTTAGGTGTCACTATAGCTTTCTGACATGACTGTCATGTTACTACGCCTAGACTTAGATGATGCTTGATAAAATTCAGCATATTAAATAATGTTGCTAAGTAACATTGTCAGTTAAACATTATTTATCAACAGTTTATGCTTTTAAACAGTGTTAGACATATTCTTGTATTTAATAATACAAATAATAAAAAAATATACAAAGGCGTATAAAATAAAAATATACATAGGCGTAAAAAATACATGAGAATATTAAACAAACCTTCATTTTATGAAGCAATCAATATCTAATGTACACAGAGTGAGCTGTGCATCCAATACTGTAAAATCAGTGCAATCATCGTTGTCAGTAAAATAGTGAGAATGACTTAATGAACAATTATTTGGTCGACTTCTCCCTTGGCAGTGCCTTTACTCGTCTTAAGTACTGTTTAGAAACTCGTATTGACTTCTTTGAGGTACTCCAACGTTTGCTCCCTGAGAAAAACAAAACACATGGTTAAGACAAGAAATTTTTGAAAATAATCCTGTCCTATTGTCTTGATAATGACTTTCTCAAACCCAAAGTGATCAAACATACCGTTTTTACCACAAACGTCCATGCAGCTTTGTTTGGAGATGAAGTTATTGTTGCTTCCTCCGCATCCTGTGTATATGAACTCCTCGCATGTTTTTGTAGCAGAGTTGTAATAATACCTTGGTATGGAAGCTAAGCACTTTCCTTTGTCCAAAATATCATGGCAAATCACAGGGATTGCTGAAAAAAATTAAACACAACAGAAATGTTTAACTTTAGATATTTGCATTTTCTAGGGACCTCAAAAAGTGTTTTAGGTGGAGCCGGAGTACATTGATAAATAAGCCAAGCAAGAGACTGGAAAACATTTAGATACGAAGGCCATTAAACAAGCTTGTTGTGTTTATGATTCAAAAAGACAAGAACAAAAATGGCTTAATGTGTTTCAATGAAGGGTCCCAAAAAGTACATTGGCCTCTTAATGTTAATGTTCTGTTCTATGTTCTGCTCATCAGTTTTATTAATGCCATTGACATTTCCTCACCAAATAATTATCAAGGTCCAATGCTTTATTGCTGCTTTAATTCTGAAGATGGCAAAGCACTTTCCGACCATCTTGCCATTAAATATTTTTTCTTTATTCTGCATCTTAATTATTTGATGATCTGCAAATGCTTCAATGAGACTTTTTAAAAAAAAAATGCTACAGCTAGTGTTTCTACTTACTTTTAGGAGGTTTGCAATATTCCAGACATCCCTGAAGATTTTCAAACATGTTTTCATTGCCTTGGCAACCACCATAAGTGAAGGATTCGCACTGCATGGAGGTCATATTGAAGAAGTAACGCTTGAAGAGGCCTCGGCAGGGCCCCTCTTTCTTTTGAAAACGACAGATCTGGGGGATTTCTGTGGTGTGCAAAACAAAACATGTTTAAGTGAGCATTTCACGTCATCTGAACAAATTACTAAGAAGTGAGCACTTATGACTTATCATTTTAAACCATAACTGCCCTCTGAACTCTCATTCAAAAATCCCATTTAAGATCCCTTACGAAAAATAAGTGTACTTAAAGCTGCAGTCTGTAATTTTTTTCTGTTAAAAAATGCCAAAATGTATAAAAGCGAGTACATCATGAATATACTTTCCAAACAAACCATGTTTTTGTCTTATCCTGAATCACTACGTACACCTATCTTGAAGCAACAGTAAGTTTTTCCTCTTTGTCGCCATCTCTGTTCAAAATCTGCAATTGCAGCAATTTGCGGAATTATCAACTTTACATGATAAAGTTGAGATCTCTGTTTTTCTGCAGCCACTCCGAAGTCTGAAGTCTTTTGCATTTTACAACGGGTGAGTCTCCAGTTGTCACTGGTGATTGTCGTTTGAACCTTTCTGGATCCGCAATCAAATTGATAAGTTTAATTATATCAAGTGCTGTGAGAAAAGGCTATAAATATCCACCTCCAACATCCTCACTCGCAATATAGCTTACTAAAAAAAAACAAGTATACTTATACTATTTTTATATACTGCATGTTCAGATTTGCAAACAAAAAATACTCTGGGGGCCATGAAACTTGTGAAAATGATCAAAAACACTGCCGGTTGCTGGAAACTTTTTTTTTTTTTTTTTAACGCTGGCGTTGAAAGAGTTAATAGGCCACTAGCCTATACTCAATCAAAAGAGTACACAACTACAAACCAAGTATACTTTACTTAATTACACTTTTAAGTATATTTCGATCAAAAGATTGAGTACTACAATAGGCCAAACAGGCTACTTCTTTTCTTTTAGTATAAGTTAAACTAGCCTACTAAGTACAATTTTAATTCTGAGAAGTAGCCTACATAAAGTATATTATTGAAAAGAACATAAAAAGTAGACAAATAGCCTACCTTCTTATTTTTAGTTTAAAAGAAATATATACTAGCACACTTGAATAAACTTCTTTTTCGTAAGGGATGCCATCTGTAGGCTAGGCTATTGTTTACAGATTATTTGTGTATATTTATTATGAACGTACTTGGAATCCTGAAGCAAGTTTTATGACATTCCAAAAATGACAAGAAGTTGTTTGCGTTTCCTCCACAACCGCTATAGCTGAATTCTTCACACTGTTGGGTGATTGTATTGTAGTAATAGCGCTGGATGTCGTCATTGCACGTTCCTTCTTCAATTTGCAACAGACAAACTTCTGTGAGGGAATAAATAACGCGGTAAAATGTTATAAACCTCAAGCTCCAATTTACTTGCAACTTTTAAGTGTCAAGTTTCAACAACAGAATGCCTCTGTTTCGGTACTTTACAGCCATTAAAAGAGCACAATGATATATTTACCTTTGGGTTGTAGTCCGACGGCGTTTTGCAGCAGAACAACAAAAAGCAAAAGACCTCGAAGCAAATCACACACCATTGTGAGAGATTATGGATTCTATAGATAGCGTGTAGTCTGATGTAGGCTACTGATATGTTACTCGCCTGATATATTACTACTTGACTTCTCCCAATCGTTGCCTTATAAATGGAGAATTTTTCAGGGGGGAATTGGAAGGGCGTGCTATACTTAGTCATTTCCATGACAATTTCACAGTATGTAGGCTACTCGAAATGCGTCTATTCCCGAAGTAGGATATGAATAATGACTTTCATGAGAATTATGCCAAAGCCAAATTTACTTCTAACTACAACTATTCTACTACAGTAGGCTATTAATAATAGTATAGTAAAACTATATAAAAAAAATGTCTAATCCTTAATTAGCCTACTAATAAATCAAAATAATATTGGAATAATAACATTTATATTATTATTAATGATATAATAATGAAAACCCCTTTTTATTCATGTGTGACCAGGAACAATATAGGCCTATAGGCTACGAAAATGTTTTGAGAGAATGCATTTGTCATATCTTTGAAGATAATGAATTATCTAATGTGACAGGTTGGGGTAAACATGGATTAGCAGCACGCTTATCACAGTAGCCTGTGATACTTTCTATGTCGCCTTGACCTATATTGCAATCCGAAGGTCATTAGAAACCCTTTTATATGAATTTCACTATTTGGGATGTAGCCTAATTCATTTATTAAGTAAATATGTATTTACTTTGCTGTGTATATGGTAATCCACAAGATCAGCTGACCACACATTTGGAGAATATGACTATGTAAAGATAAAATATAGTGTGCTTGTTTTAATAAGATTAAGAGATTACAATGTTTATGCAGATTACTTTATAAACCGGATTGAGGGAGAGGTGCAGAATCTCTGTCCATTTTCAGGGGTGGAGGAGACCTCATCATAAGCGGCAGTAAGTCTGGTCATCTGCAATTTTTTGTATAATTGGAAATCTCAATCATAAATACCCTACCACTTGTGATGTAATTGTCTGATTTGATTTCTCACAGACAATGCCGGTCATAAATGTAGAAGATCTGACGGACCTGGATAAGGCTAAAATGGAAGTAACCCAGCTCAAAACTGAGGTGAAGCTGGAAAGGGCGAAGGTAAGCGTTCAAATCTACTCATGGCCAGATTACAATGGACTACATCAAAGTTGAATGGCCTGGATGGCTTTCTAAAGCGTGTATAGGTATTGTTGGTGTGCTCTTTTTTGTTTGATTGTCACTTCAATCACTTTTTTCTGTCAGACCTCCAAATGCTGTGAAGAGATTACGGAGTACATTCAGAGCGGAGCAGAGGAGGATCCATTGGTCAAAGGCATTCCAGAGGAAAAGAACCCATTCAAGGAGAAAGGTGGATGTGTCATTTGCTAATGTGGACAGAGTTTTGCAGTTTAGTATTCAATGCAGCCCATGGACACCTGCTCAAATGTAATCATAGCTGGAATCCACTCTGCTCCCTGAAAAAGGACAATCACAAACATGGATAGATGTTCGAATAACTCTAAATGGCTCTTTCTCCCTTGCAAATGAGTCCTCAGGATCTGGACCCTCATATGTTGTGTATTCATCTTTGAAGTGATGTAATAAATCTGACTACCATTGTGCACTGATCACCAGAGACTTGCTTGATGGACTAATACATGTATTTCTTTCTTAGGCAGCCAGCCAAAGGGTAACATCTGTATAACAATACTGGGTGAAAGTGCATTTTTGAGCTTGTAATTAACATGATAAATCAAGGCTTAATCGGTGGAATAATTTAGCTATTCAATAAAACCAAAGTTACATGGCAAAAGGCCACTACAGTTTCTGACTGATTCTTTTTGTCACCAGAACATCACCAAGAGCCATTATGAGTTTGGTTTAAAGTGTATAGGGTTAGGGTTAGTATTATAAAGCAAACAGTATTTTACAGAAAATGTTACATCAAGTCTTTGCCATAATAAAGAAAGGCCACACTTGTTAATTACAAAATGTGGTAATCTGATAGTCAACTTTAGACATTCTACTAACTAGTGACTTTTCTACTATTCATTAGAGTTTTAGACTGTCTGCTTAATATTTGCTAACACTTTATTTTGAGGCTCCCCAACAGAGATTCTGACTGTAAGTAGGCTACTATCTAACTACAGTACACGTCAACCCTAACCCTAACCAAACAGTCTATTAATACTCGAATGACAAATAGCCGCTTACTTGGAGTGAATTTAGGTTGATTGAGACACATTTTGCCATTGAAATTACTGGTAAAAAAGTATCCAAATCAACCTGAATTAACCCCTATATTTAGTAGAATGTGTACTATCAAAATAAAGTGTAAACTAAAATGTACTATGGTATTCATAGAGGTAGGCCTAACTAACAAAATACCATAATAACAAACAATGGTATAACAAATATGGATCTTCTACAAACACTGTTTCAAAATTATTCTTACATTTAGCCTAGCTAATACCCATTTATCACAGATTTCCTATATAACTATAACAATAGCCTAGTTAACAATAACTAGTTAGTTGGTAAAGTGCTGACAGCAGACCAGGCAGTAGCCTGAAATATACTCTACATTCGACTTCTGCGTAAGGTTCAATGCGCATGCGCATGTCAACACTTTTGTGTAGTTTGTAAGAATGGCACTGCGTGCTAATGTCTTGAGATTCAGTTTAGCTCTCAATCGTAATTTACCCCAAACTGTTGTCTACAACAATCGGCACTTCTCAGAACAATCGTCCTCCAATCCGAAAGCATCTGTTTCCACCGAAAATATCGATCATGTTCTCTACACAGAGGAACATTTTGCATTAAAGTCGTCTTTGAGAAAGGTAACGTTATATATGACACCGTGCTATTTTATATCCATAACAAATGTATAATTCTCTGTAGAGATGAATGATGATTAAGTTTTTTGCTACCTGCATATCACACTCATGTTAATGTAACGTTAGAGGTCGAATCTTTTTCAGCAAGTGAATGTAGGGAAGAGGTCACTTACTTTGTAGCTAGCTTGGACAGCTAGTTGCATCTGTTTCGGGTTATATTAATTACTTAGGGATTTGTTGTTAATTCAAGACATAATTTAAGGATTTTAGGAAGGGATTTGTTTGATATAAAGATTCATTTTGGAGACTAACAGATGAAATGTCAAGATTAGACGCTTTGTTTTGATGTTTCCATGATTGTCACGTGACGCTAGTTGATTATAAGTTACAGCCTGCTCAAGTTAAAATATAAACTTAACTTCTATACCATATATATATATATATATATATATATATATATATATATACATATATAAACAGATTATTTACATAGAATTTTATATAAGTAAAAAAACATTGACTTATTCATTTGAATGTATAAGACAGCTCTCTCCTGTTCTGCAGTCATTTCCATCTCACCAACAAACAATCCCTTTTCTTTCCCCAAAAAGTTTTTCTCTGATTATATAGGAATTAGAATAAAGAAATATCTCTATCAGGGCACCTGAGTGACATTTTGAAGACCAATTCATTTTGAAGATCTGTGAGAAATGGGCTATTATGAGGACTTATTACAAAACGAGTCTCTTCTTGTACATTTTATTTCAGAAGTTTTCTTTTTAAATTCACTTTTAATGTACTTTTCTAATCTTTTCTTTAGCAAGTTCAAGGCTTTTTTCCAATAAATGGGAAAAAAAGTATTTTACATTAATCATTACCATCTCCAAGGCATGTGCTAAATATTTTAAGTTGAAACTGAATTTGAATGAATAAGATTTAATTGAGTGAAAGTCTCTGTAATTATTCTTTAATATCAACTGGCTAGACTGGAGGGTTGCAGGGCTTGGCAAGGAAGTTGCTTTCTCACATTCCCAGTGTCTTTAAGAGTATGGGAATAGACTGGTATGAGAAAGGATATAAACAGAAAAAGCAGCGGATAATGAGAACAATGCTGTATAGCATGAAGCTCAGGGATGGTGTTTATTAAAAGAAATCACCGGAGACAATGACACACTAAAAACTAGTAAGAAAAGTCCTTGACTTAGAAGCATGTAATATTTATTTATAGCCCTATGCATTTAAATGGATTGGTGTATTAGATTTGTGTCAGATTCAATAGGGCTTAATATATATAGGGCTTAGTATTTTACTATAAAATACATTCCTTCTCATAAGGTCATCTCATGACTCAAGATTACATTTTTCACAGTATCTTACGTAATGCGTAAGGCATGCCAGTTAGGCAATGTTCAGATTGAAATGATGTGAGTATGAGTTATTATTATAATTTTTTTTAAATCAAAATGTTTAATCCACCAATTAGGGTTAGCACTTCCAGGAAACCACCTATTGTGTTTTTCAGTTTAGTTCAATGGTCATCTGGGTGCATAAAGTGTTGACAAACCGTAAGCCAAAGTTTTGGACCCCACCAAACAATTCTCACCTCTTTAACCGACAAGAGGATTGTGGAATGTATCACCAACCTTTATTAAGAATAGGGGACCTTGTACTGTAGGTTCGTACAGGGTGGACCACCCTTCCTTTCTGACCGTATTATCCAGTCACAGTCCTCTGGGTTTTGAGTAAATCTAACTCTAAATAAGACACTTCCGTTATATGTTCTATGCCAGTTGTTCCCCACAGACTCTTTCTCCTGAAGAAAGTCAGAAAAGTTCGTTCTGACATTGTTATCGTGTTGTTGACCCCTGGCTTCCTTTCGTTATTAAATGGTGTTTGTTCTGTTCACACCGCTTTTGAGGCAGGACGTTTTTGTTGGCCAGTGAAGCAGCATGTCTGCATGTTTTTTGGGAAATGGTGCTCATCCCTCTGCAGTATTTTCTTTAACTTTTCACAACTCATACTGAAAGCTCAGTCTGTTCCCATTAAACGTATAAGCATGACATATTAGCCGAAGAGGAGTCATTACCACCGCTAAAAAAGTTTATAGCCTTAATTGAATTGAAATTACTGGTTCATCATGCTTGAATCAGTTTTTATTTTATTGTACACATAATGCATAATTGGAAAATCAATTCAGTTCCTTTTCTGCTTCATTTGTGTAGAGTTTAATGAATTGCCTTGCTTTCCTTTGACTCCCCATTACAACATTTAGTGTTCTATACACTTAAAAAGTTGAGCATTACAAGGTCTGGTGACTTTTAATTGCATTTATTTATTTAAAGACTTCTGTTTTATAACTTAAAAGTTACAAAAATACTCACCCTTATGTTGTTTGCAACCTAGATGATATGTCCGTTTGTTGCATATGAAAACAGAAGTCTGACATTACCTTTTTCTTTGGGCCATAAAGAAATATGATACTCTTATTATATAGTTTTATAATGACATTTTAATGACATTTTTTTTTTTCAGGGATTCAAAACTCAAAAAGAATATAAGCTAATTTTTTATTAGTTCAAATAAATTAAAGCTAGAACAATGCAAAAATATTGCCAACAAAATTGTGCATGATTTATGAAATGTATATTGCAGTTCAAAAGTTCGGGTTCAGTAGATTTTTATAATGTTTCTGAAAGAAGTCTCACTAAAGCTGCATTTATTGAGACAGTAAAATGCTAATATTTACACATTACATTTTTTTTTAATTTTGTCACATGTTCCTTCAGAAATGATCCTAATATGCTGATTTACTCAAAAAACATTTCTTATTATTTTTAACCTTGGAAAAAAAAGCTATTGTTCACATAATGCATTATTTGGAAAATAATTCAGTTCCTTTTCTTCTTTAATTGTGTAATCAAGTAGATTTTAATGAATTGCCTTGCTCTCCTTTGAAACTAATGTTGAAAACAGTTGTGCTGCTTTAGTGAAAACTGTGATACATTTTTTTTCATTTCGTTCATTTTTTGTTGAGTACAAAGTTCAGAGGAGCAACGTGCATTTTTTTGGTATAATTAATGTCTTTACTGTCATTTTTATCAATTGAATGCATACTTCATGAATAAAATATTAATAATAATAATAAAAAAAAACCTTTACTCGCCCAAACCGTATGTATTGTAAAAATAAAAATAGCACATTTGGTAAAAATGCAATTGAAAGTGGTGATCAGATTTGGTGATAAGGTGTCTTTAAAAAAAAAAAAAAAACTTGTTCAGTTTACGGTTGAACAAGAAATCCAGATGTTGAAAGAGCTAAACTTGAACGTGAAAATGTATGTCAGGAATGTTTGTTTTGGCAGTGCCTGTATATGGCGCAAATCTACATGGAGTATTGCTGCAGATGCAAACCAGACATCTTGAAGTGACTCAGAAGGAAGTTCGCTTATTAGACATATTGTGTGGCTATTATACTCTATAGTTTGAATGAACTATTTCCTTTTTTTAAGTTTTGGCCTTTTGCCACTTTTGTGATGAGTAAAAGTCAGCGAGTGATATCTTCCTTCACTAGAATAATGAAGTGTTTCATTGCATACAAAGTGTTACTGATCAATACATGATCAGATCATAGTCATGTTGAAATTGAGCTACAGTACTCAGATTAAGTATAGATCTATGTTTGAATGTGTTACAGATCATTGATCAAGAGATCAACCCTTATGTAGACAAATGGGAGGAAGAAGGGCAGTTTCCTGCTCATAAGATCTTCAAAATCCTGGGAAGTGCAGGATTTCTGGGAGTCAACAAACCTGTGGGTAAGCAGACGTTTGCTACTTCAGATGTACCTTAAAGGGTTAGTTAACCCAAAAATGAAAATTCTCTTAGTATTTACTCACACTCATGTTGGTCCAACACCGTAAGAGCTTCGTTCATCTTCAGAACACAAATTAAGATATTTTTGATGAAATCTGAGAGCTGGATCACTCCACCATACTAGTCCATTGGCTTATTGAGGAATTGAAATTTGCCGGTCTCAAAAAGTTATTAAAGACATCGTTAAAATAGTCCAAGTGACTAGCGGCTCAATCTTAACTTTATCAAGCGACGAGAACACTTTTTGTGTGCAAAAACAAACAAAAATGACGACTTTATTTCAACTATTCACTTCTTTCTCTTTGCGCCTCTAGTCAGTTAACGTAGTGTGATAGCGTAGAGCTACGTCACACGTAGGCTCACTATTGGCCGACACTGGTCGTGTGTGATGCGTGTGATGTGCAATAACAGAAGCTTACGCTGTTACACTAGTAACCTGACTCAAGGCAGAGAGAGAAGTAAATGAATAGTTGAAATAAAGTCGTTATTTTTGTTGTTTTCTGCGCACAAAAGTGTTCTTGTCATTTGATAAACTTAAGATTGAGCCACTGTAGTCACTTGGACTATTTTAACGATGTCTTTAATAACTTTTCGATGCCAGCAAGTTTCAACTCCTCAAGAAGCCTATGGACTAGTATGGAGGAGTGATCCAGCTCTCAGATTTCTTCAAAAATATCTTAATTTGTGTTCCGAAGATGAACGAAGGTCTTACAGGGTTGGAACAACATGAGGGTGAGTAAATACTGACAGAATTTTCATTTTTGGGTTAACTAACCCTTTAAAGTGACCCCCAAAAAGGGTTTGGGGCCTTAGAGTCAAAAAGGTTGAAAAATGCTGTCAGTTTGGGTGGTGATATTTTCATATTTTTTTAATATCAAACATTTCAGAACAAGAAGTTTATGCAGTATGTTTTCATTGTACTAGCTTTTCTATTTGACAAGATAAAGGACAATTTGATTCTTCTTGAAAGCATCTGGTTGAAAAAGACATTTGTAAAACTGAAAATGCATTTTAAGTACAAACTGGATCATTTTGTCTTTGGTAATGGCAGAATTACAGTTCTAAGGATCCTTTTTGAAAAAAGTAGAGGAAAAACAAGATTGTAGAGTGCCCTTAAACAGTCTTAGGTTTTTTATTTTAGTGCAGATAGATTCATGAGAAAATAACAACATTGCTGCAAGAAGCAATTACGAGAACAATGGAAAACACAAACCCGATTTGTGGTATTATCACGCGTATCAATATGTTTTCCCATGCAGTTTAAAGGGTTGCTTGATTGACTCAACAGTCAAAAATTGTTAAAAATATAATGGTATTGCTATTTCATTTCATCATAATTTGTCATAATTCACACAAAAAAAGCATTTTTGAATTTAGTGTTAGAAAGCACATTGGTTTCATGAACTTTTGACTCAACCTTACAGTTAGAAAGGCCTTGGAGAAAAAAAGCTAGCCCCAGTCTCTCATATGTCTTATACTAATGCATGCGCGCAATGCTACATGATCTTACAGGTGAGCATTTAGGTTATGTTTGAGTCTCATTCTTAAATAGCATGCATATAATATCCTCATATTTTTTTATATAAGTTTTGCCAACTAATAATAGAATGCAGATCGCTGGAGGCTCGGGGGAACTTAAATCCGGCTTCATAAATCTGGCGGTCAGAGGAGAGCAGCACTTGCATTAAGAAGTGCTGACACTGTGACACTTCTGCATTAGCCAGCTGGATTTACAGCATCTTCTTAGACAGAGGATTAGTACTCGTAGCGTTGCCTCACCTCATTTTGATATGTGCAGCACAGATACACCAGCAAATCTCTGAACAATTACGTAGAATCTGTTCAGGTGAATTGTGACTTGGCTGCTGTAGGCTAAACTGGAGCTTTTCCTGCGCGCTCCCTGTTGAGATTTGGGGATGGTTTTGTTGCTATATTTATAATCAGAATCCACCATCACCAGTGACTACAAATTTAGGAAGCAGAACATTTTTAGTGAAAGGTTATAATTTTCTGAAAGATATCAAGATGTAAGGGAAACTGGATGTATATTTCTCAGGGTAGGTTTATTTTCTGAAAGTCAATTTCTGTACAGACATATTTGAAAATCTTGCCTACAAAAACATTTTCATGGTTATTGCACAGGAAAAAGGATACAGTTCAATGAACATACATTACCCAGCCTGTGAGCAGGGCTTGTTGTCATATTATTTGAGGTCAGTTGTCACAATGTAATCTGCCTGTTAGAAATTTTGCTGCAAATTTAAACAGTAAAACAATTATGAAACACAATTCATGAAACAGCAAAGATGTAAAAGGTAAAGCATCAAACCATTTAAAATATCACCCTTTATATTGCACTGCAAAAAAAAAAACTAAATTCTTATTCAATACTTTGGTCTCGTTTTCCATTACAATCCATCTAAAAAATTCTTAAATTAAGACATTTCCAAGAGAAGCAAAATGATTTTTTATTGTTTTCTGAAAAACATCATCAAAATTAGGTGTTTATTCTTAAAACAAGAAAAACACCAGTCAGAAAAATTAACCAAATTAAAAGGTAAAACAAGATCTTTTTTTTTATCTCACTGACATATTTTTCTTGTTTTAAACTTATAATAATTGTATAATATTGTTCAATATATAGTAATAAATGAAAATCATAATTTTGTTCCTTTTTTTCAAGATTTAAGATTTAATATCTTAAGGTATTTTGCTACTCAAATGTAAATATAGGATAAATTAACCGACTAAATACTGAGTAAGTATATATATATATATATATATACACACACACACACACATTATATTAAATATTTCAGTGTGGTTTTATTGTGTTTACTTATTTACTTAACAGCGACAGTAAAAATATGGTATTGCTATTTTATTTTGGAGGTCATAATTCACAACAAAAGCATTTTTGAATTTAGTGTTAGAAAGCACATTTGTGTCATGAACTTGTGACTTACAGTTACTAAGAAATGGCCTTTGTAAAAAAAACAAACTAGCCCCACTCTCTCATGTGTATAACCATTATGAGCCTTATATTAATGCATGCTCACAATGCTACATGATCTTACAGGTGAGCATTTAGATTATTTTGCATGATGGAAGGTATTTTGAATCCTCGTTTTAGAGTTTTGCTGGTTCCCCTAACACCCGTCTTCTTCATGAAATCATAGCTTTCACAACCTGGCTAAAAGAACTCCATCTTACAAAACACTGGCGTAAATCCAGATTGTCTGTTTTTCCAACCCGAGCAACCTCAGATAAGGCACTAAAACTTTCTTATCCGAACCATCCAGTCTTCTAACTCAAGTCCCAAAATATGTGGGGGTGCAAGGCCTCTTGTGTCTCATGAAATACTTCTCATTTCACATCTATGCGGTGATTAAATGTACTCTGCGAGGTTACCCCACCAAACAGGAGAATCACTGTTTTTACATGTAAACAGAAGTGTTGACCAGCTTCCAATATCTGAACTTCGTAAAGATTAGACCTGCTTGATGGCATATGACATAATTTTTTCCTTTTTATTCTAACTTTATATCCTATTATCACTTTACTAAACAAACCCATATAAGACCATTATACAATATTTGCCTTTTTTTTGTAAATTTTCAACTTTCTTTAGTGTGTAATGTTGCTGTTTGAGAAAAAAAAGCACCGAGAATCGCCGATACCAAACTGCGCATTCTCACATTCTCAAAAGTTAATTAAAACACACCTGCCTCCTCACATATGAAGGTAGATTTGTGTCTTTATTATTCAATCAAAAAAAATGTTGCTTCAATCAAAAAAAATATTTTCAATTAAAAAAACCTTCACTTCAATGAAAAAAAAACTTTTCAATCAAAGAAAAAAAGTATTTGAATCCAAAAATATATTTGAGACTCAAAAAAATACATTTGAACACTGCTTTTCTTTGATTGAAAATGTTTTCTTTGATAGAAGTCCGGTTTTTTTTTGTTTAAAGCAACCTTTTTAATTAAAGTAACATTGTTTTTTGATTGGACCATATAATGGGTAGGACATTTGTGTCTTTATCATTCAATCAAAAAAGAAGTTGCTTCAAACAAACAAACAACAGAATCAATACAAAAATCACTTCAATGAAAAGATAAACATTTTCAAATATAGAAAATCATTTTTGAATGCAAATAAAATATTTGAGACTCCAAAAATTGCATTTGAACACCTTTTGTTTTAATTGAAAATGTTCTCTTTGATTGAAGTAATCTTTTTTGTGTTTGGGCCATACATGGGTAGGACATTTGTGTCTTAATCATTCAATTCCAAAAAAGTTGTTTCAATCAAAAAAATATATTTTCAATCAAAGAAAAAACTTTTCAAAAGCAAAAAAAAAATTATTTACCTCGTGTATAAAAAAAAGTATTGAAGAGAATGTGTGTTTTCGTTGTTTTTGTTTTTTATTTGAAGTGAAAAAAATTTAGAATTTCAAATTGTTTTGATTGAATCCTTTTTTTTTTTTTTGAAGTGCAAAAAGTTTTGAAGTTCAAACTTTTTTTTGATTGAATCATTTTGACACAAACGTTCCGCAGTGGGCGGGTGCTTCTCTGTTGGTCAGACATGTTTGATTGACCAACGACATTGATTGACCATTGTCTACACCAACGACATCTTTCTGACAAAGAAGTCATGTTCGCCACTCGCCAGCAGCTTTTTTAGAGGGGATAAAATCTTTGCCTGGCAAGGGGATCTGCTACTCGACCGGCCACGGATATATGTGCCTTATATGCACTGCATTATATAGCGCCTGCCACTCGAACTTACACAATATTTACAGTAAATGCAGCGCATCATCCCCGACAGAACGGTACGCACAATAGGTCAATATTCACCATTAACCAAACGCTTTTCACCTGCCTAGCCACAAGATTTCTCACTGTTTACACCTATCAGACACTCCTAATGGTAGGCCTACACGAGAGCACACATAGCCTACAGTAGCTACAATACAGATCTTATTTACACATTTATCATCTGATCATATATTTTATTCGTTCTTTTTGCCCGTATTGGAGCGCGTATAATAACGTGCAATCCATCTCTTATTTACCTTTTTGTCATCTTATATTATATTTTATTTGCTCTTTTTATGCGTATGGGAGTGCGCTCGCATGGCTCTATTAAGCGTCGCGCCGGCCACACCAGCCACACGATCTCTCTCTATTTACACCTAATGGTAGCTACACGAAAGCACACATAGTGCAATACATAGATATGTATGCATGTCCCCACCACTTTTTGCCAGGGTCGATTTTGTACCCACCACTTTTGAAACATCTCGCGGCGCCTACTCGAAAGAGAAAAAAAATAATGAATGCGTCATTGTACCCAGCACTTTTGAAAATGCTCTTCCGAATACGTCTCTCCGCCCCCCAGCACATTTCAAACCAAACCAAACTGACGCCCGTACTCAAGAGCAGGATAACACTGTCTGTGTGCTCTCGTGTATTAATCGGAGTTTCTGATAGTAAACAGTGAGAGATCGTGTGGCTGGCGCGATGCTTAGAGCCACAAGATCAAATGATAAATAGATAATATCCTGTAGGGGTAAAAACTTGCTGGCGAGTGGCGAACATGACTTCTTTGTCAGAAAGATGTCGTTGGTGTAGACAATGGTCAATCAATGTCGTTGGTCAATCAAACATGTCTGACCAACAGAGAAGCACCCGCCCACTGCGGAACGTTTGTGTCAAAATGATTCAATCAAAAAAAAGTTTGAACTTCAAAACTTTTTGCACTTCAAAAAAAAAAAAAAGGATTCAATCAAAACAATTTGAAATTCTAAATTTTTTTCACTTCAAATAAAAAACAAAAACAACGAAAACACACATTCTCTTCAATACTTTTTTTTATACACGAGGTAAATAATTTTTTTTTTGCTTTTGAAAAGTTTTTTCTTTGATTGAAAATATATTTTTTTGATTGAAACAACTTTTTTGGAATTGAATGATTAAGACACAAATGTCCTACCCATGTATGGCCCAAACACAAAAAAGATTACTTCAATCAAAGAGAACATTTTCAATTAAAACAAAAGGTGTTCAAATGCAATTTTTGGAGTCTCAAATATTTTATTTGCATTCAAAAATGATTTTCTATATTTGAAAATGTTTATCTTTTCATTGAAGTGACTTTTGTATTGATTCTGTTGTTTGTTTGTTTGAAGCAACTTCTTTTTTGATTGAATGATAAAGACACAAATGTCCTACCCATTATATGGTCCAATCAAAAAACAATGTTACTTTAATTAAAAAGGTTGCTTTAAACAAAAAAAACCGGACTTCTATCAAAGAAAACATTTTCAATCAAAGAAAAGCAGTGTTCAAATGTATTTTTTTGAGTCTCAAATATATTTTTGGATTCAAATACTTTTTTTCTTTGATTGAAAAGTTTTTTTTTCATTGAAGTGAAGGTTTTTTTAATTGAAAATATTTTTTTTGATTGAAGCAACATTTTTTTTTGATTGAATAATAAAGACACAAATCTACCTTCATACTCACACTCACTCGTCTCATTCGCTACGAAAATATTGCACATAATTTTAGTCATTCCCGCAGGTATCGCGCCAACACCAAAAGTGCTTCTACAAAGTGGCCTCTTAAACAGCTTGTGAGTACCAAAAAGACTTTCAAAATTATGTCAAAATGCCAGATTTGCAGAATATTCTGGTAAATACACTCAGTTTTGGAACATATATTTGTTGAAAAATAAATCACATGTTGTGTAAAAATATATTGGATCTGTGCATAAGCTCTTAAAGTGACAGCAGCCTAATAAACCTGCTGCTTTCTGTCATGTTAATCAAAGAACAAAAGACAAAGAGAAACTGACTCACTGCTCTTTACTAAATGACTTTTGTAACTCTAATTGTAAGCATTAATTTGTTTAATTTTTAACATTTGATTACTTTATTTAATTTCTGTAGTGTTTCTTATCTGAATACTACTGTTAGACCCACCTGAAAAAATTAGGGTGCATAGGGTGTCGTGGGGATTCGTAAACGACAACGGGCGTCGGGACGCAAGATTCGATCGTATCATCTCGTATTGTGTCATAGTGGGCGACAACCTACGTCGCGTCTGCGATGCTTCACGACAAAAAGACTAGCATGTTTAATTTTTTTAACGGTCGTCCATGACGGTTCCGTCACATGTATGAGGTTGACCAATAGGAGCACAAGCTTTTCCGTATACAACTTTCAAAAAAGACAAAACGAAAGAGAGACAATGGTGCTAACGTTAAAACTAGAAGTAAAAATATATAAGAAAACAATATTTTACCTCAAGTTCTCATTGGAGGATTGACAGCCCATACTGTCCTCTTCGACCAGGGTTCTCAAGTCTCACGCAATGGCCGTGAGACACACGCAATTCAACCAGTTCACACAATCACACGCCACACCGTGTATTTCTCACGCTGAAAAGGCAATGCCGAGCAATCCAGGAACTCACTCGCTACGAGTTTCGCCTTCTCGATGACATCACGCACGCCGTTAAACACGGCATGCGATGACTGGTCAGGAAGTAACGTGTAGTCTGACATGTGTCTTGTCCACAACAAGACAAGATTTTAGGAGCCAAAATTGCGTAATCTGACACAGTGACTATCGTAACAGACAAAAAAAATCGTGTTCTGAACCAGGCATTACAAAACACGCCTGAATCACAACACACTGATCTAGCCGACCAATCAGAGCTTTGCTTTTCAGAAGGAGGGGTTTGCCTTCATAGAGACAGGAACTAAAAAGAGCATTACTGACAGACTGGGAAGAGAGGAGCTGCAACAATGACAAATATGTGAAAAATAATGTGTTTTTTCTAGCTTATTCTAGTAGACCCCCAAAACAAAAGTGCTTAATACTATTACTAGTTTGTGGTCAGGATAAACAAACCCTCCTTTCGGATGCATCTCACTAGGTACTGAACACTAACAGATTGTCTGTTTGGATATTGAATTATTTGACAACGACTTGTCCTGTGCAGCTGTATCTGTTTCCTTTGCTCTCTGGCTTCACTTTTCCTTACTTTGCCACACCAAATGTTTTCCACAACCATCGCAGTACCTGATGACAGAATACAGCATCCTGTAGTTCTGGTGTAAATGAATGAAGAGTTCACCACAATCTCTAAAGGCCTTGCTTTTCAATATTATTGTTGTCCTTATTGCCTGCACAGATTACAATCATTTCCTTAATGTCATAATATTTGTTTCCTGAAGGAAAATGGTAAATGAATAAATGCATGACAAGGAAAGTATCGTGGGAAACAGTAATGCTGTTATTACGATCACATGTAATTGCATAAACGCCATTTGCCCAAGACATTGTAATATGTTATGATGAAATGGACCGCAGGGGTGTGAAAAGGGCATGTCAAGTTTTAAATTACTGCATGGTACAAATATGTTGAGGACTTTTGCATGATGCATATTTGTCTTCAGTACTAAAGTAAGCAAGTTTAGCTTATTGAGGCCCACGAACAAAGAGAAACACTCTAAATTTCACTTGCTTTGTGATCAAAATGTTCCTGCAAATATTCAGTGTTGGGTAAGTTACTCTAAAAAAGTAATTAATTACTAGTTACTAATTACCTATTCAACAGTGTAATTAGATTACTGTACTAATTACTCTCTCTAAAAAGTATTTAATTACTTTTAATTACTAATTACTTTCAAAATCCCATATCAATCTCAACCAGCTGAATAATACAAGGATAGACATGAATCTGTTTTAATTCTTTCAAATAAATACTATAAATTGCATGAATTATCCTTAAACTGACCAAGGTGGAGAAGGTCACATTATAAAAATACTTTTTAGCATCAGACAATACATTTTGATTTTAAACCCACTATTGTTTTATGTCTGATCTCATGACATTTCACACTTTTTTCATACATATTTTACAATAATCCATACGAATTTGTACGAGTGCGGTTGTAATATTTAGACACCTCATAAAATGCATCGGATTGATCTATACACAGTATTTACCTCAATTACATCAGAAGTAACTGTAATTAAATTACAGATACATGAAGAGTAATCCCTTACTTTACATTTTCAAGGGAAAAGTAATTAAATTACAGTAACTAATTACTTAGTAATTAGTTACACCCAACACTGCAAATATTGTGGGATATTTTTCTAAAGCATTTACAGTATTTTCAATGTTTACAAGCTTAATAACATAAAAAAACTGAGATGAAGCATCTGCTCTCTTGGTATTCACTGGTTGTTTTCATTGTTTGCAGAGTATGGCGGTCTTGGATTGGACTTCAGCTACAGTTTGGCTGTGGCTGAAGAACTGGGGAACATCAACTGTGGAGGGATTCCATGGCCATTGGTGTTCAGAGTGACATGGCTACACCTGCACTGGCGAGGTGATTTCTAAATCTGAAATATTGGTATCTTTTGAGTAAGGAAACAAACTTTGGTTGCGTTAAACATTTTTCCGTCTTTGACTGATTTTTTTTTTTAGCAGTGACAGAAAAATCTGAAGGCTGTCCGTCATTTTGACAGATTACACTGAGGGTGATCTATTGTAGCTTGTAACTGAAATTCCCACCCTTGTCCAGTTCGTGGCGAGTGCGCTCAGTGTGGCTACAGACCGCAGGTTCAGTCTCCAGAAATTTAAGACTGTGTTTGAAATCGCCCCCTATATCCTAAAGGAGTAATTCCAGACGATGAATAAGGGTCTTATCAAGTGAAAGATCGCTCATTAAAAAAAAAAAAAAAAAAAAGTTTAAGTTTTATAAGCTCAAATGCTTGCCTTGCTCTGTTCTGTGTGACTTCTCTCTGTTCTGTGTCATTAAAATGAACGAATCTTTTTCCGAGTCAATTCGTTCATTTCTTTCATTGAATAAGGGTCCTGATTCAATTGTTCAAATAGGAGAGTCACAAACGCGCATCACAGAACAGAGCAAGGCGAGCATTTGTGCTTATAAAACTTAAACTTTGTTATTTGTTTTTTAAATGACAGATGGTTTCGCTAGATAAGACCCTTATTCATCGTCTGGTGTCGTTTAACTACTTGAACTACTCCTTTAATTTCAAGGTTTGTGAAAAAATTGTGTTTCAGCTTAA